CAAACGCCACCGCACCTACCCGGAGCTGGCAGTCGCCCGCCGGTGTGAAGTGGTTGTGCTTGGCCTTGAAGTTGGGGCAAGTTTAACCGCGAGGCCGTTGTCTTCCTGCGGCAACGCTCGCGCCCGCGAGTCGCCAGCCGTGCAGCGTGCCTGATGGATGGGCATGCTGGCCGTGGCGGCACAACGCGCACTGGCCCACTTGGCCCACTCGCTGCTTGAGTTGCCCTTGGCGGGCAAAGACGGCACGGTACCGCGTCTTGGTGACCTACTGGCGGATGACGCCGAAACAGTGCCCGCAAGTCGTCTCCCCGCCCCATGAGGCTCGCCCTTTTCGTTCACGGGCGGCGTGGCGTCCCCTTACAAGTAGCTTCTTTCTAAGGGCTTAGCCCACGCACGCCGATTGAAAAAAAAAGGCGCGAGACGCAGGTGGAAGGTCAGAAAGATGCGTGTCAATCGCCCGGTCCTCGCAAGCTCGGGCTGCACGGCGATGCCAGCCACGCAAATAATCCGTTGGTTCCTCGTCTCTGGCGGACGTGACCGGGGAAGCTTGGAAGGTTTCGTGCCAGGTCGGTGTATGGAAATCCTGTGCTGCCAGGTGTGTGGCGAGAGGATAAACCTCGCCTCGGCGGGTCCGCCGCGCTAAGCCTCCAGCCTAGCGCTTCGGATCCCAGGTTTCAAAGCCCCTGGTGGCTTGCTCGCTTGCGCCCTTAGTGGGCGGGGCGACCCACAACCACGCAGGACTTCGGAGACTTGCGGGGCTGCCCGCCACGGAGATGTTGGCCCAGAGGGCTCTCAGCGGAGCTCTGCCACTATGCGAAGGCTAAAACCCACCCAGGGGCTCAACTAGGCACATTAGGCACACACCTTTTCCAAGCCACACAAGGGCTGCGTTGCGGATGCGCAGTGGTTTGTTGTACATGCGTGAGAAGTAGCCTAGCTCAAGCCCTCGGGTGTTGGGTACTTAGGGAACTACCGCGTGCACTCGCATTGTTTTGCATATTCTGTCGCACAAACTCTGCGGATCCGAGAGGGGCGCCAAGTAAGTACGACCAGTCCCTAGCGTTCCTGTGTGTCGCGGAAGGCGCCATAAAAAAGCGCGACTCGCTCGGGCGAGCACGCGATGTACGTGTCATCCAGGAACAACATCAGCAAGCGCGGCGTTCTGGGCGCATAACGTGCCGGCATGAGGGGGTCGCCTTGCTCCCCGCCCTCGGCTTGGAGCAGCTCATGCTCAGTCCCAGCATCGTCTGTCCAGACATAGCGGTTCAACGGGCTGGAGCTCGGGTCGTGAACGCAGCGCCTCAAGCATGGCCTGCCTGATCCTGCCTGGCGACGTGGTCAAAAGCCCCGCGTCGTCAACAAACTCAGTGGTGCATAAAATGCACTCGGTGGCGACTTGGAGCAGTGAACAGCGTCAGCGCCAGTGCGAGTCATGCAGGCTGCTTGGAATTGCTTGGAGGGCCGCGGCGAAGTGTTGGGCCACGGCGCGTGCAACCACGCAGCGGAAAACGTCGTCCGCGACGAGCGCTCGGACGCGGGCGTTGGGCTTCAGCAGCGCGACAAGGCAACCAACCCGCACAGCAGCCATCATGGGTTCCGGGGACGGCTGCCCTGTGCAGGACTGCAAAGTCGCGCCCTTTGTCTAAGAGCAAGCGGATGTGCTCGTTTGTCATGCCGGAGGGCCTCGCCGCCTCGCAGGCAGGACAGCAGCAGTGTTTCTGAAACAGGGCAGCTTAAGTATAGCAAAAAACCGCAAACGTGGCAACACGCCATGCGTGCCAGCAGTTGGGCCCTTCCCTTTGATTCTTGCACTTAATGGTCAGCACACCTATCTAGCCTATATACTTCCCAAACATAATACACCCATGCAACTTTTCACTGTGGGACCGGCATTCACGAACCACGACGGCACGATTGTTTTTTGCTGACCATCCGGGTACACGTGGCAAAGCTCCTGCAAACTTCTGCTTTCGAAAGCCTCATGTATTACACGCTGAATTCTGCAGTGCCGCTCTTAGACTCGTGGACAACCGATCACATCCGGTTGTCAGCCCCGCCTTACCCTTTGATGCAAGCCAACCACAGTGCTAGTGGCGGAAGGGCGCGGCCGAGCAAATGTTCCGTCGCTCCAACCGGCGGCATCCGAAGCAGGCGTTTTCTTCTTGTTTTTGTATTTTTTCTCGTGGCGACGCGCAATAGAGCAGAGGGAGCCACGCGCCCTGCAGGTCACCGACGGTGGGCAGACGGGTGAGCAGCTGGTCTTGCAGTTCAACGCTGCGGCGCAGCTCAAGTTGAACGAAAGTTTCACTCCCAATCGGCCTGCCCAAAACCAGCAGCCCTTGCTCGTCCACCGGCACTGTCCAGTCAACGCATTGTGCGGTCCTTCATATTGTCAGTTGCTCTAGAGCGAGGTGTAAGGGGAGGATTGTTCCTGGATCACAAGTGATCACAAGTGAGGATGCGCAATGCGGCCGCACTCCCTTAGTGCGGGCACATCCCACCTTCCCGGGTCTGCACCTCTTTTACGATGACGCGATGGTAACATGTTTGTTTGATATATGCTTTCTCATACCAAAAGCAATCAAGATCCGAATGGCCGCATCAGTTGCTACATGAATTGACTTGAACTTGTGATTGCATGAACGTTCTTGCATCGTCATGTTGGGACTGGGACTTTGTTGTATTGGGCGGGCTTTGAAGTGAGTGTGGGCCGAGACCCTGTTGCTCAAGGTGCCAGTTGGCTGGAGCCGGGCAGGCTGGCGGGTTCCTCGCCCTTTCGGCTTGGCTCAAACGTATGCGCGCATGGCGCAACTCCGCGTCCCCCACGGTACGTGCAGGCGCTGACACGACATAACTGTCGTCTAAGAACGTGAAAATTGCCTCACCCTTTTAGCTCAAAGCGGCATGCTGCGCTGGGGAGCAAAGTGTCGGCATTAGCGGATCTCCTTGCTCACCTCCGTCGCCCTGCGTCACGTCATGTTCCGAGCCGTTTCCGTCAAGCCATGTTGGTACTGCCACGGAACTGGATCGCAAGAGATAGGAATGGGGCGAAGGCCGGGCGAAACCGGACACCTTCTAGCATCCCGATTGCTACACGCACGACCTGGCTGGGCTTCGAGCTCAGCCAGCTTTAGGACGGCGCAGCCGCGTCGGCCCATCCCAGTGCAAGTGACCGACACGCGGAGAAGCACACATGGCAAGAGCCACGCACAGGCAGCACGCGGAGTTCCTGCAGGAGCCGTACCTCATCCTGCAGGCCCACGTTGAGCTGTCAGATCTGTCAGGAAGGCCAGCTCCCACTGTTTCTTTGCATCGGCCGCTGCCGTGCCGGGCACGCGGTCCGTCGTGGCGCGAGCTAGGCCGGGCCCACATACGTGGCGTCAACGCCAACTTGGACTGGGGCAAGCCGCGCGGCAAGGGCGGAGCAACAAGACTCCCTGGCATTAGCTTGGCAAACTTTCCGCTGCAGTTGAGAGCAGCGACAGCCCTCGCCTAAATAGGAGCAGGCAGCACTGAAAACTGAAGGGCGAAATGCTTCCGGTCTGGCTTGGCGCCACTGACCACAACATACTGTTTAGCATATCTTGTATATAAATATGTCGGAACTGTAAACCAGGTATGCCTCGAGTCTCGCAACGTAGCAAAAGGAAGCACTTTGCCAGAACAAGAGGTTGAGATCAACCCTGTGACCATTCGGGGCAAAGGTTGAAGGCCCAAACACTGCAACCACAGTACATGCGGGCTGGCGCGAGGCGCACTTTGTATGTTCTGGGAGTCTAGGACATCCATGACGATGGCGACATCAGCACACTGCGGACTACGAGTACCGAACCACGGGCCACCGACTTCGACTGCCCAGCACCGAATGCTCATGCGTGGAAGAAACCGCACATCTGGACATACGTGAGATGCGAGAGCAGTTCGAACTTTGCCTTAAGAGAGATCAATCGTCTGCTAGTGAAGCCGCGAAAACGCGAGCCTAGGCGAACCTCAACGACAGCCTCCTCTCCTTCTGCCACACGATGGCTTCTGCTACGGGACGGCTCGAGACAGTCTTATCCCTTGCGGCACGGGCGCCCTGGACAGGTCGAGTTCGGTTGCACTATGTATAGCGATCATGCCCTACAAGCCGCCGCCGTGCCCGGGGGTCCTTCGAAACTCTGCATCGAGATTCTGACCGCTGCACCAGTCTAATCTCCATCGTTTGGCGTTGTGAGCTCGACAGCAGTGACCGCTGGTTACTTCTACTGGCTATGCTGCACACCATCCTGGGCAAGCCACTTTGTGAGACGCATCGTTCACATTCGCATCGCCATAGTTTCGAACGGATGTACCGAAAGAAGGGTCATCCACGTTGGCGCTGAGGGCATCGCGAGCCTCGGTTGAAAGGTCATACCGTCACCCATCATTTCGAGAGAAATCACGTGAGAACCGCAGCTAAGGCGGCAACAGCAGTGTCAAAGAACCTCGCGCACTCATGCGCCTGTGAGAGCACGCCTTGGCAGTTGACACTTGACATCCCGACACCGCTTGGCTCCGTTGATCGGAACATGACACGTGCAAACTGTGTGAAGCCCTGCGCATTCAACTTGCACATGTATGCACGGCACGCTCAAACTCCTCGCGCAGCGTCTCCACATTTTCGTCAAACTGCGTCTTCGCCAACCGGAGCCGGTCCTCTCTGCGAAGATGCTCACGGAAGGCTCTCTCTTCTAGAGTTGGTATAGCCTGTATCTCAGATGACTGCAGCGCTGGAAACTGCGATGGCGTTGGCATCGGAGACGTCTAAAACCCTGAAAATGTCGGTGCGCAGGGCTGTCACCTTGACTCATGTTGCTTCTCTCGGTGGTTCCACTGTATCACTCTGGTCAATTACGGTGTGAACGGTAACTGTCTGATCACTGCAATTATCGTCAGCTCATGTTGAACGCCTGATGCCCGCGGTCTGGGCCACCATCTACCGATAAATCAGATCAGTGTCGACATCCTTATTCAAAGCCGCCGTGACATAGAACATTTTGCCGCACAAGTCAATCGAAAAATGAGAGCTTCACCTACAATGTTAATAGCCCCCCCTCTCTCCCCCTTTCCCTCCAGAAAGGCTCACCTAATTGCTGCATTGACACTCGACCAAGTTCTTATTCCATGTTCCATGTTTGAAGCCATTAGGGTTGGGACGCCCGGCAGCAGGCAACCATTGGAAAGTGTTAAACAATTTGTTTTTGTATTTTACAATGATTCCAAAGTGATTTGCAAAAGTGATTGCAAACACCCGGAACCCGGAAAGCTGAATTCCAGTGGCCTGAAAAGTGCTTAATAAGTGATTTCAAAGGGATTTGGAAAATGGATAAAAGTGAAAGTGGGCGAGAAGTGAAATCAAAGTGATCTGAAGGGGGGGTGCACACATACTTCCGTCTCTAGCGCGCATTCAATAGAGCCACCAGTCTCTGAAGCAAGCCTTAGTGAATCCTTTAAAGGTATGCAAACCCTTGGAGATCCACTATGCAACTCCCTCATAGCTTTGAGATCACTTCTGCAAGCCTTACATCACGTTGACATCACTTTTGGAGGTGCCCAATCACTGCGACGTCACTTTGTGAGGCTAGGGATGTCCGATGATAAGCCACATCTACATAGCAATTGACCTGTCTGAGGACAAAGATCCCAGTCACATGTCGCTGCCTCTACGTTGACCACCATCCCCACCACCAAGCCCGGTTTTCAACAACCATTGCATCTTTCAAAAAAATGTCAGACGTGACACGTCACTCGCACGCGGCCGGAAGGATGAAGCATCACAAGGGTGACCAGCGCATCAGCCACGAGTCCCACTTCTTACGACTCGGGGGTTCTGTAGGGTGCGTGTCGGGACAAGTCAACCTGGATAACAATAGCTGTGTTCTCACTAGCTTGTCGCGAGATGTCGCGAGCGAGGCTGACGGCGAATCGCCGCCTGTTTCTGGCACAGTTGGCCTTTCAGGCACCCTGGGTCGAAGGACACCCATCCAATTTTGAGAAGCTCAATGAAAAACGGGAAATCGATTTGAGAATATAATCAATCCAGCCCCGTTCGCAAGTGCCGCCGAATCCCTACATGTTCCACAGGTTCTCTGTCTTCCGTATTTTGGAAAGCCAACATGCCCGGCGAAACGCGCGATGCTGGCGACTAACGAAGGGACAGCCTCCGGCGACTTGTTTTTTGGGAAATGCAAATTTCGTTGCATGATCCTTGGCAAAACTAAAAACCGAGAGTGCCACCCAAGGACGAGCTGTGACTACTTCGGGCCCGAAAGAGAACGAAAATAGTCGAAACGAATGCAGATGTCTCCAGACTGCGTACTGGTGCTCTTTTTGGGCGAAGGCGGCTGCAATCTTTGTACAGCTTTTACATCATGGTCTGGTGGCAAGTTGGCAAAGGAATCCCAGGCTTCCGCGGATGTCATTCATACGACTTTAAATGCTCAACATGCATGGGACATCCTTTGCTGGCAAGCTCACGTGGCAAGCAAAAGGAGCAAAACACCACAGCTCATCTGTGGGGCAGGTTGCGCTACAGGTTTGCATCCATCTTTGGCTTCGCCAAGGCCTGTCTCCGAGGCAAGGCATGCAAAATTTAGCAGGGACGCTTCGGCACCAAGCAAGGCCTCCTGTAAGCGTGCATCCATCATCTGCAACCGGGAATCCAGCAGGTTCACCTGGAGAGCGCGCAGAGAATTTTAAGGCTCGTGACGAGATTTACGCGAACTTAATCCGCCTAAACAGCTGCGAGCCCTAGAATAGAAGTCGACCTAGCTGACTACGACTCCGAGGGCCATTGGAACGAAAAGATCCGAGTGTGTCATGTGCCGTGTGCAGCGAAACGGAAATAGGAGGGAGCCCCCAGCCTGTTGGCTCACCGCATTCAAGCCGCGGGCCTTGACAGTCTCGTGGTTTCTGCATGAAGGGGAGTCTCAGAAAACAAAGAACCTTTGCTAAGAGCCCAGAATAATGGGAGCCTTCTTGCAAAACAGCCGCATGCTGGGGCTGTTCATTTCCGAGACCACATTGAGTTTCGCAACTTGAGAAGCTGTAAGCTCCTGGCAAAGCTCCGCCGAAGCTCCAGTATGGACCTCAAAGAAGGGGGTTTCAGAATTTTTAGGGCATTTCATTGTTGGGTTTGGGGTCCCGAGCTCTTATCGCGAAGCATCCTCCTGGGGCTCGCACATGGGACGGAGCTCGGCGGATACTTGCACCATCCCATACAGGAGCTCCTCAAGAGGGGCACAGAGCGAACCATTCGCCTCTGGGGCGGCAGCGGGCCTCGATCTCAACGATGCCCGAATCATCATAGTCGACGAGGTTGAAAATAGCCTCCAAGTCCTTCCGGGTGAAACTTTCCACTCTTGCAAGGGCCCAGAGCCTCAGAGACGGCGGCCTTCTCCCGCAGAGGTGTGGCGTCCACCTCGCAGAGAGATAAGACCTGACAGATCAATGCTTCAAGGAAACTTCCTGCTGAGATTTCCTCAGCCTCTCATGTCTATACTGAACTTAGACCCCTAGTCAAAAATTTTAATTTTAGCTGCTTCTTAGGGTTTATAGTAACCAAAGATTAAAAATTATTTCTAAGTACCCCTAAGATGTCCACTCTCACTCTGCCTCCGCGCCTTGTCCTTGCACTTTTCGAACTGTGACTTGTCGATGTAATTCGCGTCGGCACCGCTGTGGTCCTGTTCAAATCGTGGTCACCACGTCACACCCCGCTGGCCAGCCTGAGCCAGAGTGCCGCGAAGTCCTGAAGCACCCTGCGACACATTCGGATGAAAACCGCTCGCGCCTGAAGAGGGAGCGGGGAGCGGCTGGACAACAAGCACAGGGGCGTGAGCAACCGGCCGTTTCTCTCTCAAACCGTCGTTCCTCCTGCCCAAGCTCATGCCGAGAAGATTTTCAAACAACAAGTATGAGACAAGCGCCGCCTGTCGCATGCGACTTTTTTCCACCATGCCCTCGGTGATAACACCAGTGAGAATACTGGCCTGGCAGACGGGCATGTGGCATTTTTCTGAAGGAGGCTTCAGCAAACAAACTTGCGAGATCAGCCATCATGAAGGCCCCGAAAATGACGAAGATCACCAGGAAAGTCTTTAGAGACGGATTGTCGGCGTAGACCTGTACACCACTAGAAGAACTTCCGCCCGGAACTAAAAGTCACTCGACTAGAGACTATTGGGGCCCGGCAGGCTGGAAACGCTCCTGTGCGGTGGCAAAAGTGGAACAAGAAGTAATAGCTGTTTTCTGACTTCCCGTGCCGGTCTGAGTGGCAAAAGCTTCTTCTCCGAGTCTTGGACCATGTTCGGAAATGCCATCAGCTCGAACAGTGTCAGCATCGACGAGCCGAGAGAGCCTCAGGGTGTCCACGGAAGACGAGATCAGATCTTTGGGAGAGATCTGCAGCGTCTGAGGGAGCAGGCCGAAGTACTCTTGCTTTACCAGCGCCTGCAGCTCAAGGTCGGGAAGAAAGGCCCGAGACAGGCAGCGCCTGTTGCTGCCGTGCCGCCAGCGGGTCGCCATCGAGAGGATGGCCCACAAGCCTGTGGGGCCGGCATGGCTGCTGGTGCCCAGCAAGCAACGCATGACTGACGGGCCTGGTGAGGACGATAGCACAGATGTACAGGATCAGGACACAAATCACACTGACCTTCGGAACTTCTCATGGCCCCTTGACCCTCCAGCTGACCGAAAGTTAGGGCAGTCTGAGCGCCGAGCCCAAAAGACGGATTGAACCGCATCAAACAGGCTAGATGCCAGGATGTGCAGCCTGAGTTCAAGGCTGGACTCCCAGACTCCTCCAGCTGGAATAAGCTGGCCGAAGTTTGGTGAGGGCGCGTCTGTCTCATAACCCGGAAGATGCGGAAAATCCGGAGAATTCGAAGCAGCCTGGCTCGGGATGACGAGATCAGAAAGTTGCCTTCCTAAAAAGACTGGCCTGAACACCCGCATAAGGACGATGTACAGCTGCGGCCCTTCAGAGCGTCAAGCTCAGAGTGAAAGTCGGCTCTGAAGAAAGGCCGGGTCCGAGCCTTGCTTCAGCCGATTGACCAAAGACAATCCTCGATCTATCACCTGAGGAGAAGAGGGGGAACTCAAACTCACGCCGACAGGGGCGGTCCGGGACAGCCACCCCCAAGAAGACCAGCGTGAAATCGAAGACCTAGCTCAGCAGAGTCGGTTCTGCGGCGCCACACTGCACAGCGTTTTGATGCATTTTGCAAATCAACAGCAGCACGAGACATCGACGTTCCATGCGCCGTCCTGGCCAGTCACAATGCTTGTGGCAGCTTGTGGCATTTCAAATGGAACCATGCTCCAAGATCAACACCACCACGCATCCAAAGATCTACTGGTACCCAGTGCAGAGCCCTGAATTCCAAAACTCGTGCGGAGCCGAAGTCTCATTCACGGGCCGTCACACTCGAGGGGGTGTCTCGATCCGCCGCTAGACTGGAACAGATGTGAACAGGGCAGGGCCACCGATCCGGTGGCACTGAAAAAACCCAAGATGCCGTAGGCAAAAAGCCTGCGAAGGCCGAGGCAACGATATGCAGAAGTCTCACTCCAATCCTGCTCTTGTCTGTCGCCTGCCTCATGCAAAGTTCGACGGCGAATAGGGAAAGAAAGGTGTCCTCGCAGAGGCCAGATCCAAGGCTGGGCTTTGAGAGATGTTGATCTGGCCTCAAGAATCGGGAATAACCTCGAGACCACATGATGCCACAGCTGACGAGCCGGCAACCGACCGGGGA